ATTTGAAGTTATTTAGAATCATTATAATTATAAAAAGTCAAATACAATCAATTAATGTTGTATTGAAGTATAACATACGTATAAACAAAGAAAGTATGGACAGCGTAATATTAGAGTACAATCAATCAGCATTCAAAATCTCACTAAGGTCAACCAAATGCTTGAAGCGAGCCATCCTCTCAATACAAAGAGCCAGACTCAAAAGTTTTGGTTCAGATAAAGCTGGACCTATCAACTGTAAACCAATGGGAAGGCCAGTTTCCTTTGAAGTAGCTACTGGTATCGTAACTGCGGGAAGTCCAGCCAGATTAACTGGGGAGGTTAAGACATCATCGCGAGAACTCCTTGTCCGATTATCGAGAAGAGAGAAATCTAGGATCGTAGATGCAGTAGTGAGATGAACAGGAGCTAAGAGAAAATCAACTTGATCCGATAGAACATCGTTAAATTCAGAGCATATTAAGCGCCACATTTTTCTGGCTGCATCGAGGTAGTTCATTTGATTTTTTGTAAGCATAAAGTAGTTTCCGGCGAGAATTCGACTCCGAACAACCTCGCCTAAGCTCGCAGATCGAGAAGCGGCGAAAAGCTCTTCGGTTGAACCGAATTCAGAGTTGGCTTGTTCATCCATGATCTGTGGTCTAGCGCGATATCCAAACTCCAAGCCGTCATATCGGGACATATTAGAAGCGACTTCAGTGGAACATAAAACAGCATAAGTGGCGCAAGCGAATCTCATGTGTGGAATACTGACTTTTCTAATTTCAAGGCTTAAGCGATCGGCACACCAACAACAGACTCTTTCCCACACATCTAAAATCTCATTGGAAAGACCTGGAGCATGATATTCGACAGGTACACCCAGCTTTAATGGCTTTGGCAACTTCGAACAGCTGATATTTTTTAGCTCATTGCGAAAGAGAGTAAGGTCATTGGTATCTAAATTCAAAAGTGTCGAATCGCAGACCGGCTGATTAGTGTCCAAGCAAGCACAAAGCATATCAGCGACATCTGTGACTTCTAGAGATATAAGGGATGGTGTATCAAAGCAGTTGG